CATCTCCGCGGGCCTGGGAAGTGGCAACCTGGCTCGTAGCTTCCAAGGGGCCACATCTCCAGGCCCCATTACCCAGGAGACCCAGCAGCTCCTGCCTGCAGGCCACGTGCTCAGCCTGGGCAGTCATGCTCCCCCCAGCATGCGTCATGGGCACAGTCAGCGGCACATGGTGCCAGCCCCACCTCGTGGCACTCGGTCATCTCCCACAGCTCCTGGCGCAGCCTGTCATGCTCCTGCTGCAGGGCCTCTTGCTCCTGCCTCAGCCTGCGGCAGGGAAGGAAGTGGTGACGATGCGCAGCAAGACCCAGGGATGCTCTGGCAGCCATGCCGAGCTCCCGCTCCCTCCCCGCAGCCCACCCAGCACGCACCGCGCCGTCTCCTGGGTGTAACTGGTGTTTTCCTCCTGCAACTGGTCCCGCTCGACCTCGACCACAGCCAGCTCCCGCACCGTGGCACTCAGCTCTAGGGCACAGCGTGGGGGTCAGGTGGCATGCGCTGGGCTCCAGGCACCCTGCTCCATGCAGCCAGCACCTTGACCCTCCCCCCTGGCAGCACCTGGCTGCTGGCCCATAGGAGGGCAGAGCCCACCCACCCCAAGGCCCAGCGACCACTGCAAGAGGCCTTTTAGCCTCCCCTGGCCAGGGCACGGGGGAGCACCGGGCTCCACACACTTGTGTGAGCAGCCCTGGCGAGCCCCACTGCCTGTGGGCAACGCACCTGTGCCCAGACGCGAGCTGGCTGTTGTGAGCTGCTCCACCTGAGCGACCGAGTCCTGCAGCGCAGCCAGCGCCGCCTCCCGCTGCGCCGTCACCTCCTCCAGCCTGCTGGACACCTGTGCACAGAGCACGGCCAGATGCTGACCTGGGGGGGACTGCGGCCAGCACCTTGCCCGGCTGCTCCCCCCCAGCTCCCCGCTGGCTTGGAGCAGCTCATCCACGGCAGCCCTGGCAGGGGCGACAGCCTCGCTGCCACACCATAGCCTGGGACTGAGCCAGCCTGGCTGCTCGGGCAGGAGGCGAAGCCCCCGTCAGGCTGCAGCTGGGCCGAGGCCACAACTGTGAGGGGCGCTTCCACAGGCCTGACCCACTCACCGCCGTCGTGGCCTGCAGGGCCTCTCCCTCACGGCGCCGCGCCTCGTCCCGCTCCTCCAGGCAGCGCTGCAGCTTGCTCGCCACCCCCTCCAGCGAGCTCCGGCCCCGGGACAGCAGGGCCCTCAGCTGCTCTTGCTAGGAGGGAGGAGGGAAGTGTCGCAAGATGAACTCCCAGACCAAGTGCGTCCCCCAGGCTGGCTACCCCTAGCTCCCACCCCCCACCCTTACAGCCGCCAGCCGGGCTACCCACGGCTGCCGCCTGGCACCGACACAGCACGTCCCACCAGCAGCCTGGAACCAGGACACAGATGCAGGGAGGCCACGACGCTCCAACCCCTCGGCCCCTCCGCCACCCAGCGTGCCCCAGCTGGCCTCACCCCCTGGCCCAGGGCTCGCCGGTCATCCTGCAGCATGAAGAGGGAGACGGTGGCGAATTCCAGGAACGACTCCGACTCCAGGGCCCAGGATGCCTGCAGGAAGGGAAGAGGTGTTGGGTGCTGGGGAGCACAGAGGGACCTGCCAGCTGCCACGAGAGGCCAGGCCCAGCAGCACGAGGCTCTGCATCTCCAGCAAGGCCTATGGTCCCAGCCCGTGCGCGGGGAGCCCGCCCCAGCTCACCTGGTGCCGGCGCGCCCCCTCCAGCAGGGCACGGAGCTCTCTCTGGGCCGCCAGCCCCAGCTCGCTGCAGCAGATGCGGGCGCCGGCGTGGCAGCGGAGCTCCTCCAAGACTGCGTCTCCCTGGGGCAGGGAGGCACAGAAGGACGGGGCTTCAGTGCCGGCTGCACACGGCACCCCTGGCACTGCCCTTGCCAGGCCCCAGGGCACAAGCAGCCTCGCCCCGTGAAGGGCACGGAGCCGCTGCCCGCTGAGAGGTTGCGGCATGGCCAAGAAGGCAGCCAAGGCGCTGGGGGGCTTGCACCCAGTCCCTCCCCATCACACAGTCAGGGCTGGTCCCCACCCCAAGAGGATGGAGTCACCCAGCTTCTTCCCAACTGCCAGGGACCTTGTGGGCAAGGGGATGAGGTGGGGTTGCCTCCAGGGACAGCAAGCACCCCCAGGGGCTGGCACCACCCACTGCCCGGCTGTGCTCCCTGGCAGGGCAGGGGCGCAAGGGGCTACTCCTGTCCTGCTCCACCCTCAGCCCCCAGCACGGACGCAGGCCTTGCCCCTGCCCGACCCACTCACCGCCTCCTTGGCCTGCAGGGCCTCTCCCTGGCGGCGCCGCGCCTCATCCCGCTCCTCCAGGCAGCGCTGCAGCTTGCTTGCCGCCCCCTCCAGCGAGCTCCGGCACCGGGACAGCAGGGCCCTCAGCTGCTCTCGCTTTGAGAGGAGAGGCCGCAGGGCACTAAGGGGAGCTCCTGGCGCAGCGCACCCTTGGCCGCTGTCATGCCAGCCCCGCAAGTCACGCCCACTGCCACAGGCTGGCACCCCAGACCGAGTGCACCCCACACCCTGCCATTCAGGACCTGGGGCAACCCTAGCAAGGCAAAGCTCCTCTGAAGCAGCAGGACCTGTGGCATGGCATGGCCTTCCCAGCAGCCCTGGTGCCAGGCACTGGAGAGGCTACACGCGGTCCCCCAGGCCCAGCAGCCCTGTGTGGACAGGGGACATCCGGGCAGCTGCTGGGCTCTGGGGGAATGGCAGCATGCCCCTGCCCCGGCTGCGACAAGGAGCGCAAGCGCTTGGCCAACAATGGGCTGGCGAAGGCCGCGCCTGGGACTGGAAGGACCAGTTTTTCCATCTCCTCCGAGGAAGGCATCGGAGACGGTGGAAAATTACCAGGCAGAAGGCAGAACTGGAGAGAGCAGGGGAGCGTGAACAGAGCTGGGGACGACAGCTGATGGGGAGCTCCGGGCCAAGGGGTGGGAGCAGGGCTGGGACTCTGGTGTGGACCGCAGCCCACGCCCTGGGGGGGGACCCCTGACCCCAGCTCAGTGCTGAGCCCCAGGGATCCAGCCTCTGGGGGGGCAATGAGGAAAGATACTGGTCTGGGGCCTGGGCTTGGCTACTGCAGGTTTCAAGGCTCCTGGGTCCCCTGCTCATTGCAACTCTGGCGAGCGGCCACCGAGCCAGGAGGCTGCAAAACATCCTCGTGCCACTGCACCCGGCCCGGCCTCACCTCCTGGCCCAGGGCTTGCCGGTCGGTCTGCAGATGCTGCAGGGAGGTGGCTGTGAAGTCCAGGAAAGCCCGCGACTCCAGGGCCCAGGATCGCTGGGGAAGGAAGCCGAGGCGTTAGGCACAGGTTTAGGGAGCAGATCACCAGGGCTGCTACTAGGACGAGGGCACCGGCCAGAGGTTCCTGGTGTGCGCAGGGTCCAGCCTGCCCAGAGCTACAGCACCCTTCCCTGGAGCGAGGCAGCCCCACACCGGTGCTGGAGAAGCCTGGGTAGGAGGCCCTGGGTATTCAGCAGCACCAGGTGCAGGTGGTGCAGGCAACAGGCCCTGACACGCTGCCCCCTGCAATTGCCCCCTCCCTCCTGACACGTACCATCTCCCCTGTGGCCTGCTGGACCGCCTGCCGCAGGGCCTGCTCGCTCTCCCGGTGCCGCTGCAGGGTCTGGACTCGCTCTCGTGACTCCAGATACAGGTCGTGATAAAACCGCTCCTCCTAGAAGACGTGCCACCCCCATCAGGGCTGCTGCCTGGCAGGGAAGGGGCAGGGGGCACCTCCTTACCCAGCTGGGCACTTTCCCCCAGATGCGGCCCCGCAGGAGTGCCCCCACCCGCTCACGGTGCTTCCCCCTTGCAGTGCATGTGCACCCAGGCAAGGGTAACCAGGACAGCAGCAACCCTGCACGCCCAGCCAGGCGCGTGATGCGATTAGCAGGCCCGGGGCCCCGGCAGCTCTGCCAGGCCACGTTACTTCCACCCGGCTTGCTGCGGAGACAGCACGCCACTGGCACTGCAGCCCAAACGCAGCCTCCTGTCA